CTCTTTCTTTCAAATTGAAGCCTTCATGTTGGCCCATGTAAGAAGTTGCTCTCCCTCATTTTTATAGGCTTCCTTCTGGTACTAGAAGGCTGCAATGTTGTCTCCGCAAAGCCTTCTCTTCTCAATGCTGAACAACCCAACTCCCTCTGACTGTCTTCATATGAGAGCTTTCTCCATCCCTTGACCATCTTCATGGCCCTCTTCTGGACCCACTCTAACAGGTCCACATATTTCTTGTGCTGAGTACTCGAGACCTGGATACAGAACTTGCGGTGGAGCCCAATGAGGGCAGAGTGGAGGGGGAGAATCACTTCCCTTGACCTGCTGGTTGTTCTAATTTTTATGCAGCCCATGGTATGATTGGCTTTCTGCACTGAAAGTACACGTTGCTGGTTTATGTTGAGCTTCTCATCAACCAACCCCCCCCAGTCCTTTTCAGCAGGGCTGCTCTCAATTCATTTTTTTTTCTAAGCTTGGGAATGCCCCAGGCCACATGCAGGACCTGCACGAGGGTCTTGTTGAACAGCCTGAGGTTCACACAGGCCCACCTCTCCAGCCTGTCGAGGTCCCTGTGATTGGCATCCCTTCCCTCCAGCGTGTTGACCACACCACAAAGCTTGGTGTCATCAGCAAACTTGCTGAGGGTTCACTTGATCCCACTATCCATGTCACCAACAAATATGTTAAACAGCCCTGGTCTCAATACTGATCCCTGAGAAACACCACTCATCACGGGCTCCACCTGGATATTGAATCATTGACCACAACTCTTCAAGTGTGACCATCCAGCCCATTCCTTAGCCATCAAGTGGACCATCTGTCAAATCCACGTGTCTCCAATTTAGAGACAAGGATGTCATGCAGGACAGTGTCAGATGCTTTGCACAAGTCCAGGTAGACCATGTCAGCTGCTCTTCCCTTATTCACCACAACTATAACTCCACTGTAGAAGGCCACCAGATTTCTCAGACACAATTTGCACTGTGAAGCCATGTTTAGCCCCATCACTTTTAAATACAACATAGTTTCTTCCAGAGTCTTGGGCAGCTCCTTATTTACCACATGCTTCTTTCAACCTAGAAAAAGAAAAAGCTGCTTTGTTTCTTGGGGGAACTTTTTGTTCCTTTGGATTTATAGTGGATTACATCACCAGTAAAATCAGTCCTATGTCACCATACCAGCCCTAGAATCTGTAACATAGAATTGGTACCTAGACCTTACTCTTGGCCCTCGGCATGGGTGTTGATTCTGGTAACAGCAGCACACTCCAGCAGTGTAGAGCTGTTGAGCACTGCTCAGCTATCATAGTCTTGCAGTGTGAGAAAGAACCATGGCTTGTGCTCTGGGATTGCCAAGCTCTAGAAATCAAGGAATCAAAATAGATCTTCCAGCTTCTTGCTTGTCATCCAACAGCCCAAGCATGTAGGACAGGCTCAGTTCAGACTTGGCCCCAAATTTGTGTAACACGAAAATCTAGTAATCATGTTCCTATGTAATTCCTGTGTACTCTGATTCCTGATGTAATTCCTGTGCACTTTGATTAATTGAAAGAAAAAACCATTTTGTAACTGTCAAATAAACACTGCTGCTTTGTGAGGGTCTAACACTGGCTGAAGCTAAATATGGACAGAAGTTAAAACTTACTTCGCTTCCTTTCATTCTTTAGGCTCAGAGAAGTGAGAGTACATGAAGACAACACAGGCACAAGAAAATTGTTCTTTAAAATCCTATGCAGGCTAGTGTGCTTTAGTAGCTTAGGAAGAGTTATTTGACCTTTTTTAATGGCACATTTTCCAAATTCAACTGTCCATTTAAAAGCTGTATAAGAAAAGGATGGAAGAGACTTTACTTTGGAAAATAAGACCTCTTCTTAGTCTCAGAAGGATGCATGACAGTACAATATAGTTAGTATGACTTTTAGCCTGAGTGATATTACTCCTAGTTCAATGCTGGGTGGATTAAGCTGGGCTAAGGTTCCTGATCCTGGAATCCAGAGGTGGGCTTGAAATTTTTAACTGAAGCCTGTGTGGAGGATTGAAACAATCTACTGATTTGATTTCTGTCACACCATCTGTGCAAACCAGTATGATGCATACAATTTTTAGATCTATGTAATTTCAAACCTTCCACTGATTTGTAATATGAACTTTAGTATTGCATTGATGTCCTAGAATTTCATGATATTTGTTAGTTAATGTTTATACCATGTTTAAATCAGATAAATTAATTGAACACTTTGCCACTGGTCAATAACTGAAAGGGGCATTCTGAGCCTCAGAATCAGATGCATCAAAATTCAATTTAAAAAATAATGGGTTTATACATCAATTCAGGGTACAGTGCCAGATTGTCAAAGATGTTCAGTTGAATGATATTGACTTTTCTTAACCCAGCTATATCTAAATTTTAGATTGAAAACCATTAAGTCAGGAGAGGTCTGATTTGTAGAATACTATAGTAGATTTTTATTTTGTAAACAAGCCTAGGAAGGATAAGAAACTGAACAAAAGGGCAGTGATATCACGTTGGCTTGCATATGATGATCACAAGCACATTCCACTTCCACTGTATCCCCGAGTTAAGCCTGACCAGCTCTGTGGAAACCTCTGTGGCTGAAAGCAGGTTTGAATGGAGAGATGTGAACATCTCTTGTAACATGCACCGCAAAACTACTCCTGCATGGAACATTCCTGTCCTCTTCTGTGCTCTCCAATTCTAACACATTCTGGTGAGCTGGGACAGTGCCCTAAAGCCCAATCCTCTAGGCTGTATGGAAGGGCTGGCTACAAGCAGAAAGCTTCTTTAAATGTTTGTTTCCTCCAGTTTTGGCATCTCCTGAGAGCCCCAGCAGACCCTCCCTTTCCACTACAAGAGGACAGACGCCAATCTGTGAGCCGGCAGCCTTCGTTCACCTACTCAGAGTGGACAGAGGATAAAAATGAGGATGACTTCCTAGATTTGGATCCTGTACCAGAGACTCCAGTCTTTGACTGCGTAATGGACATTAAAGCGGAGACAGATCCAACTACTCTCACAGTTAAATCCGTGGGCTTGCAAGAAAGGTAGGGTATATGTGGCTAATAGGGGAAAGTGTGGTCCCAGATTTCATGGATTTAGGAGTTCTATGCCTAGTAGGAAGATTTATTGTCTTTGTGTCACTTTAGAATGTGTTTTTAAAGACAAGCACATGCTTTACTTCCTGTCTTATTTACAATCCAATCATAAATAAGAGCATATTAGCTAAACAGCATACAGTTTCTAGGCAGCTGTCAACAAGTGCTGATCTAAACCATAAATTCTTTCTATGGAATGTGTCTATTTGTGTTTCATCAGTCTCTTGCCATTCCTCAAGATGGCAACTGCATAGCATGAAATCCACTATAGGGCAGTGAAAACTTTTGCCTCCAGAAGAGGTGGATCTTGTTGATTTTTTTTCTGTCACTCATGCTGAAGGACTCATCATTTCTCCAAAGTCAAACCATGAGAGAAAGTGGTAATTTGCAATAATTCTCATATAAATGAGTTAATCCAAAAGTAAATGAACTTGTTTCAAATTAACTCAGTAATGAAACTTTGGGATAAGCTGGTGTTCATTGCTTGAACCATCAGGGCAATGGAGCTTCTCAGAGAGATTCACAGCTGGGAAAAGGCAGTTTCAAGATTAAAGGAATATCTTTTTCTGTTTTGTGTTCTTTCAGTTGTCTCGCTGAAATAGAACAAATGTGTTGATGGTAGAAATCCTATGAAGAAATTCTGCAAAGGTGATGATGTTATGAAGAAGAATGAGATTACTGAAGGGTCCAACATAGCAATGAATCACATTATTTTCCTTCTAGGTTTTCAAGCTTAATTGGAGTGCTAACCACAGTTCATTCTCATATCTAAAGCTTAAAACACAGGGCAGAACTTAGATTTTAAAAAGCATGATGCTGAGTTTCCAAGCTCCACAGGGCACAGTAACAGGGAATATTACAGAAGAGACTTTCAGTTTGCGCTCTGTGAGCTTGGAATGTTTTTTTCTCACTTTATGCTTTGTTTATAACATTCATCCTAAAATCTCCTGCCTTTTATTGTTATATTCTGCTTTAAATATGAGATTGCAGTAACCGCTGGGGCTTGTCCCTGAACCTGCTGCTGTCAGTGAGTTTTGTTGTTTTTTCATTACAGGCGAGATTGGGCTGGAAATGCATGAGTCATTTGTGTTCCTCACTGTCCCTGATTTCATTCCACTCCTGTCATTTTAAAGATGCTGACATTTCTCCTCAGGTGACTACCAGTCTGCAGGAAAGATATTTATTGTATCATGAAAACTGGGGAATATCATTTGGGGAGTATCAGTTGGGGAATAATCAGTTGGTTCAAGTAATGAATTACAATTCAAAAACTGTCAAAGTAGAGATGGGAAAAGAAAGCAATGGCTTGAAATTACCACACTAGGTAGAATGTGTACACTTTAGATGTAAAACAAACTTGTTTTCAGCATACACATGTGCTTGAGAAGCCAGACATCATTTCAGGATTGAGCTGTGTTCTGATAAATGTCATTTACATCAAGCATTGGTCACTTTTCCATTGTTTGGTGTTGTGTTGAATTACCTACCTATCCCTCTATGGCATCCATTCTGCCTCTCTAACTTACTTCCTACCCATTGTGTAACCACCTACACCATTAGAAAGCTAATCAGTAGCTAATTCGAACACTGCTGAACATTGCTTAAGAAGAAATAATCTCATTTCCTCATGCTGAAGAACCATTAATGTATGTAGCCTCTTCTAACCCTAAAATAACCAAAAGCATTCATTATCAAATGCATCTGTTCCTGGGAAGCAATGTAGTAGCTGTTTAATAGCAGACAGGAGAGTAAGGTCAAAATATTTTGAAAGGTGTCACTAAAGATTCAGTGTCTATCACTAGTGGTCATGTTTCATCCAAAATCATTTCCCCGTGGCTGTGAATCATAGCAGGAGGCTGGCTGCACATTCTCTTGGAAAAACTCCTGAATCCAGGAAAGGGCTGTGATCCAAGTAACAACTTCTACTGTCTTATCTGTGAGCAGGTCATGCCTGCGTGTTTCCATGTTTTCTTCAGCAGCTCCTGCACACATCTTCTAACTGGATTTTGACAGCCAAGATTCATCAAAAATAGGTTTACTGTGTGGATGTATAGAACATTTACCTAGTAATCATCATATAGTGTGATTTTATTATTATGTTAAAGATATCTAAATATAGAGTCACTGAAGGCTTTTGCATCTTACTTTTGTCTGTGAAATGCAAGATTGACAGAAGCTCAGAAATACTTTAAAGCTGTATTCAATTAACAGTGTCTTTCGACTTCTTTGTTTTGTTGCGTGGCTAACTTAATAGTAAAGCCACTAAGAATTCTACACTCAGCATCTCTATTTTTAAGGTAACTGTTAAAATGTTGGGACCTTCATTTTATCCTTCTGATGCTGTCAAAACTGAGGCACAGTTGTGGAAAGAAAGTTTTTCAGGCAGAAAAATTCACCGTGGTGGCTGGCTTTTCATGTCATTATTAATGTTGAACTGGTAGTTTACCCCGGTGGGGATGATGAAAGGGTTTGCCTTCATGTTTCAGTGTACTAAATCATCTTCTGGTCTTGTCTGCACAAGAAGCATCACTAGTTTTTTTACAGTTAGTGGACCAAAATGTAGCCATCAGAACCAGCTGGGTGCCTTCCTAAAGCTGTTTTTCTGTCACTGGGACTGTCCATTGCTGACAAAGCTGGGGCAGTCTGTTCTGTTGTAACAAACCTTTGACCACTCTGTTTTGCAGGAGAGGTTCAAATGTTTCGCTCACACTGGATATGTGTACCCCAGGCTGTTCTGAGCAAGGGTTTGGCTATGTCATGTCACCACGGGAACAGTCAGCCCGGGAATACCTCCAGACGGCATCGAACATCCTTACTGAAGAGGAACTGCACAAGAAAGCACTGGATCCTTTCATACTCCAGGCAGAGTTCTTTGTGAGTATCTGACCTTTCTCCTTTAGGAGCAGCAATAAAAATGGAATCATAAAGTCACAGAACTATCGAGGTTGGAGAAGACCTCTAAGATCATCGAGTCCAACCATTAACCTGTCACTGCTGTAACCCCTAAACCATACCCTCAAGTGCCAGATCCAGATGCCTCTTAAGCACTTCCAGGGATGGTGACTCCACCACTTCCCTGTGATGTCTCTCTTCTATGAACATTGCTATTATTTTCTGCAAGTCTAGAAGTACTGCATAAAAACTTTACTTTCATCAGTGAAGCATTTAATGCAATTCCCAAATTTGTCATCCCTTGGAATGGTGGTGTCTGAAAGCTCCCAGTGATATTGTCATTTAAAAACTAGAGAATTGGTTCTGGCAACAGCAACAGCAAATCTTTATTTTCACAAATCTTGTGGTTTTCTTCTGCTGACATGCTACTTTTTGACAACAAAATAAATCATTTACTAGAGTAGAGAGGATAAGCCACATTTCCTATAGGCATAGCTTTTTGAAATGTGTCTCAAATTGCCCTAGAGATAAAATTAGTCCTAATCCATCCTCTCTGCTGTTGAATCCTAGGTGTAGAGCTACTGAATGTTCTCTGGTTAACTGAAGCACAGCATGGCTATTATTCACTAGTTGTAAGCTCCTCTGTCAGTTGCTTTTAGGATTCTGAAATATGCTTCCTTGGATCACTGTGTATCCACTGATGCTTTGGTAGAAAGATTCTTTACCTCATTTTGGGATAATAAAGTTACACAGATGAAGCAAGCAGTTCAAATTGGATTTCTAAGTAGTTTAGGATAAAGGTCAGATACATTTTGGTGTAGTGAGTACCCTGGCTTTTTAGATCATTGCATGCTATTGATTCTTCCCAAATTGCTTGAGTGCCCATGTGATAGGCATTGTCATGTTTATTAGACCTGACCAAAGAAAATAGTATGCAAAGCGCTACAGTGGCTGTATTATGTCTATTAAACAGGGTAGTAAATTCCTGCTCTAGATGGGAGGTAACCAGGGCACAGACTTTGCATGCTGAGGTGTTGTAGGTCATGTGATCAAGAGCTACTGAAGTTAATACTGCCAAGTCAAATATTCTCTTAAGCATGGAATCTTAGCAGAGCAGCAAGAAGGTCTTGCAACATAACAGCCCTTTCTGCTTGTCCTCTTCATGACCCGTGTCTGAAAGGGAAGGAATAACACTGATTATCACTTGCTGTCCTCCCTCCTTGTGCAATTTCAGGGTTTTTTCACTGTACATGAACAAGGGGATAGTCTGGGCTTCTGTTTTAAAACAGCAGACTGGGTGTGTGTGGTCTTTAATTCACTTAGTGCTGTACAAGTTGAAGATGAGCAGCTTTTGTGTAGGCAAGCCCTGATTCTTTTCAAGTAAAGCATCTATTGCTGTTTTCGAGAGGGAATGTTCACTTAGTGTCTGGACTGACTGCTAGACTAGTCCACATACAGTTTCATCATTCTCTGAGGTACACTGTAGCTTTCAAGAAAAGAAAATAATGTTAGAAGTAGGAAAAAAGTGTTGTTCTCTTCTCTGAGAGATTTTGAATTGGTTTTCCTGGTGTTTGTAGAAACATTCAGAAGCCAAACTTATCTGAAGTTGCTTTCATTTATTAATGAAAGCTAAAAAAGCACAGATAAAATTCTGTGTAATCTAAATGTCATTTCTGTAATCAAAAATTGTAAACTGATTTTTTTTTATGAAACAGTTATCATCAGCTACTCTGCATCATGTATTTTCAGTCTATCCAACCTACTTGGCTTTCAAAGATCAGATCCATGATGAAGCAAGAAGCTGTGTTTCATTTTGGAAGAAAAGTCAGAGAGGACATTTGCAGGGCTAAGTGCTGAAATTCTTAGAAGATTTCGAGTTTTTACTCAGGCCAAAGTCCTTTTGATTTCACCAAGAACTGGCTTGAGCAGTGAATGACTCACAACTCAAAACCAGACCATGGAGCTTGGCTCAGGAAGACTTTGGGGTGACTAAATACCAAGTAACAGTTGAGAAAAATATGAAGGTTTTGTTCTCAAATTAAACAGTTCTTCAAACTGACAGGAAACATTTCAACAAAATGTTTTTTATCATTAATTGCCTCCGGTTAAGCACAACAATATGCTCAGTGTTGTGTTAGAGACAGAACACAGATAGTTTGTTCTTACCTGGTGTTGGCTGCTTATTGCAGGAGATGAGCAGTGCAGACCATGAAGCCCCTCCATCTCTGTGTGTTCTTTGCATCAGCAGTGTAGAGAGCAGGTAATCCCTGAATACCCATTTGCTGTGCTTGCCCATGGAGCTTGACAGCATGATGACCAAAACCAGTGATGCTCCCCCAGCTCCATAGAGTCAGGTCAGTGTGACAACCTGCCGTAATGTGTGTCATACTTTGCAAGTCCCTAGCAAACTATTATCTTACATACTCAGAGAGGAACCAATGGGAGTCAGAAAAGATGGTGTCTGAGGTCCATCCCTTTTGGAGCAGTGTCTTGCACACCACTTTTTGCTTAGTTCTGTGCCTACTCTTGCAATTCACTTCTAATAATATTAGGAGTGAACCTAACTCTGTCGCTTGTATTAATGAAGTAGTCACTATGAGTCTTTTCATATTAAGATAAGGGGTAACAGCAAAAAGTGGTGCACAGGAAGTTCCACCTGAATATGAGGAAGAACTTCTTAGCTGTGCAGTCACTGAGCACTGAACAGATTGCCTAGATAAGCTGTGGATTCTCCCTCACTGGAGGTATTCAAGAACCATCTAGACACAGCCCTGAGCCATGTGCTCTAGGGTGGCCCTGCCAGAGCAGGGAGGTTGGACCGTATGACCCAGTGTGGTCCCTTCCAACCTTACTGATTCTGTGATTCTGTGATTTCAGAAAAGAAAGCCAGTGACAGTAAAAGGAAACATCAATCATATTTTGGTGGTAAATTGCTAGAAGTACTGTACCATATGTCTCAATTAACTTCATCACTTTGCCTCCCCCACAGGGAGGGCATAATGGGTTTGGGGTTTTTATTCCTTTTGTGAATCTAATAATACTACCTACTGTCTTTTGTGTTTTCGTGGTTTTTTGTTGTTTTCTTTTTAAACAGGAAATTCCAATGAACTTTGTTGATCCAAAGGAATATGATATTCCAGGCTTAGTGCGTAAGAATCGCTACAAAACAATTCTCCCAAGTAAGTTTATGCTTTTTAAGTCACTGAGGCAGGTTGGTTTATTCCACATGCTGAAGGGCTTTGCATTTTCCTTTCCAGAATACTTGAAGTGTACTGTCACCACAGTGTAATGTCCAAAGGCCATGTTTATGAAACAGCAACATGGCATCAAAGCATAAATCAAATTTCCAAGGAGATACAGGGCATGAAGAAGCTAAGTGCTGCTGATCTTCAGTGAATCTTAGGGTTTAAGTTATTAGAATCCCATCACTTGGTGCTGCTTTACAATTCTACCCAAGATCTTGGTGTGATTATTAAGATGTTACTTAGTGGTTTCTTTGATGAAACTCCTTTAGAAGGACTAAATTCTAGCAATGTTATTTTCCTGACCAATGTTTTTCTTGGAATCATGCCCCGAATGCAGACTGAGAATGTTGGGAACTGATCTGATGGCATTAAGATGACACAGAAAATAGAAATATTTGTCTTTTCTATTGCACTATTTTTATTTGTAGCCAGTAGTAGGAGCTTTGAGAAACATTTTGGTACAAATTTTTACAAGTGCCATCATTTTGCCCTCTGTCACGCTTAAAGTTACTTTGAAAAGTGATGCATATCATGTCTCTTTTTTTGGTCTAAGCCATTGCTGGAAGATGCCACTACTAGCCATGATAGCTCTACTTGCAAAGTCCAAAAGGTTCAATGTCAGATTAACAAAGATAAGTGCAGAGAAGTAAAAAATGTCCACAGCTATACCTAACATTTCACTCAATGAATGGATTGGAAATGGTTTCAAAAGAGATTTTCTTAAGCTGTTTTAGAACTCCAGCAGCTTCAGCCCAATGCCTGTAACCCCTTTGATGACTTTGTGTTCTGCCTTAGACCAGAAGTGTAAAAACATTCAACCAACTTTCACTGTTGCTGTGCTAATTACTAAGGCATTTCATTCAAGTATTAATTCATTGGTTTTGCTGGAAAGGGAAGATTGCAAAAGTGGCTAGTGCTTTCAAATACTCAAGCTGCCAGATTTGAAGATTGTCTGTATATTCTGAATTTGGTATGCAATGTGTACTTTGAGAACTGGATCCATTTTAAATATGTCATATTGGATGTTTAAACTGAAACATCACGATTGCTGCCATTTGAACACTCTGTTCCAGAGCTGTAAGCAGATGTCAGTTGGCCCACTATCATATTTTATTAAGAGTGATCACTCAGTGGGTTAATTATTTGCTGCAAGCTTCATTTCAGCCATATGGATATCTGCTAGCAGCCCTTGTCACTATGACCTCTCCATCCCAGGTAACTAGTTTCTACTCTACCATCCCTCTAAGAGTTATCAACCTTATTCCAGGCTTATTATGACCTGACTAATTTTTCTGAACTACTTCAAAAACTAATAACCTCCATGCAACTTTGTACCTGGCTGTGGC